CTGGCATTTTTGGTGACTACACTTTCATAATCTATATGAACCCCTTGCAAAAAAGCAAAAAATATTACATTGAAACTTGTCTTTAAAAATTATCTTGAAAATCAAGTAACCCCCCAATAAGGTCCCCAAGTCTTTTGCCCTCCCCCATTATTTCACCGCTCCCAACCATAAATAATGAACACTCCCTAAATGGTAGAAAAGAAAAGACTGCATTTTCATTGGTTCATGAAAATCACTGTAAATTTTGCTTTTAAGAGAAAAAGTACAACATAACAGCTAAGATGAACATATAAATAAATATTTATTAGTAACCTTTCATATCACTCAGCCTGTTAATCATTTTGAATATGGCATTTAGTGAATATAAAATATTCATAAATTAAATAATGTAATTTTACAATAAAAATTTATTTTGAATAAGCCAATATAAATAACTTAAAATGCGGCTAAACAGGACAAAAATTTTTATTAGTAACCTTTCATATCATTCAGCCTGTTAATCATTTTGAATATGGCATATAGTGAATGTAAAATATTTATAAATTACATATTTTTGTAATTTTACAATAAAAATTTATTTTGAATAATGCACCCATTAATGTTATGCACCAGGGGGCAGGCCGGGCTTGGGGTAGGGAGTGGGTATTAGATCAACGTTTGTTCTCTGACCACGGGGCATTTGCCATATTATAATTCTGTTACGATATAACCAAGCTCACGTTAGCCGATTAGGTCTATCCTCACCCCTTGTCTGGCTCCCCCCCTCCTCCAGCTGACTTGACATTATAGGGGCATAAGCCAATTTCCAACTTAAAATTTGGCAGAAAAGGCAAAAATATTTCTTAGTAACAACCTTTCATACATGTGTTACAACTCTCCATGAATAGAAATTTATGCTTACTGTAATTGAGCAAAACTACTAGGAAATGGTAATTCCCAAACATTTGSTTGTGTTGCTYGGGAATTATTACAAAACTGTGCCTCAAAAAGCAATTGTTSGATCTTAAGTTTCASCATCTCCTTGGCCTRTTTGGTTTTTATTTCTTTTAAAGTGTGACATACGTGTTTGGCAAACAGAGTCGCAATCTTCCTCTGTGCTAGGAACCCGCTTTTTACCAATACACTCAAGCACTATCATGGATCTTTCCAGTAATTTGCTTTCGAGGTCAGTTTTCATAAATGACTTACTACTACGATTCACTTATTTCCTAGAAGCCAATATATCACCTGCATCACAAGAAGCATCCAATGGGATGTCTGCATAGTCTTCTTTCTCTGAAAACTCCTGCAGGTGTTCATTATTTTCCTCATTTTCTTTAATGGGGATTAGCACACCTGGGGTTGGTCTTGTTTTTATTGGGGTAATACTGTCAGAGAGGAATCCCAGCATTTTAAACCATTTCCAAGTTGGTATGTAGACATCTTTAGTCCCAGTTCTAGTGACCTTGGAAGCTCTTGTCTCCCCCAATTCTTTTCCATAATGGGTCCTTCGCATTTTTGATTTTATATCTTCATCTAAGTCACAAGCAAAGGTAAATTATATAAAAGTAATGAACACCAAACATGTAGAGTGCAAACAATATATCCGTGAATTACAATTTACTAAATAGTACAAAATAGTGCTAATTTAAATACAAAAAAATAAAATTTGCATAAAATTGTATTATTTAGTAAAACTAATGTTCCATGGTTATACTGTTTAAACAACTAAGCTTACAAATTGCGCAGAATATTAACAATACAAATATATTCAGAAAAATAAAACGACAGATAAAAGCATATGGATAAAAATGAACACGTGGTTTGGAATAAGAAAGGGGCAATTACCGGTGTACAGTCACGATGTGAAGACAAAGAAGTTACAGCCAAAAATTGATCATAATATACGTTCACAAAATATAGTGTGTGAATACTAAATATTCCTGGAAGGTGTAGTCAATAACCATCCTACTATGAATAATATTTTTGACGTTGACGATAAGGGAGACGTTGAAACGCATTGTGCAGAAACCAGTTTTAATGTTGTGGACATCCGCCATTTTGCAAAAGTTTACAATCATGCGTACATTCGTCTACCCAGGCTACTCATTATAAAGGGATACCAAGGTTAAAAATTCATTTAATAATATCACAAAGACATAAAGACTTAGGTTTATTTAATTGCCATAACAAATTCCAAATAAATATTGAATAAGTGTATCCTTAACCGTAAAACAGCTACCCGTCTCCTCCTCCAACACCTTTCTTACTGCATCTTGTGCAGCTTGTTTTTTGTCCGTCCTCTTGAATTCCTCCGAACTTGTATTGAAAAGACAGTCGTACTTGGACCACTGGCTGATCAGAATTTCTTCTTCTTCAATTTTCCATTGCCTTTTTGCTGTTTTTTCTGCTTGTATCTTTTTGGTAGCCTTTTTTTTTTTTTTTTTTTTTTTTTTTTTTTTTTTTTTTTTTTTTTTTTTTTTGTGACGTAACATCACATACAAATCTGCTTTGGGGGAACCTCTAATGCTTGTTTTGGCCCTTTTTTCATGAAACTCGCAACCAAATCGCAGTGAAATTTGAACATGTTCGAAACAACAGTAAATTTGGTCGCAAATCGCAGTAAAATCGCCGAGTGTTTACAAAATCGCCCACAAAAAATCGCACCTGAAATCGCAGCACAAACCGCCCGTGTGAACAGGCCTTTAGAATTAAAAAAAAAATCACTCGTTTATCTATTGTTGGTCCCATTCAAATTAAAGCTGCCTCTGAAAAACGGAAAATGACACAAATATCATCAAAAACTAACTGCAAAAATAGCAAAGCGATAGTACTAGCTTATCACATTTTTATAAGAAAGCATATTTATCCGAGTTTTCATTCAAAAGTTTGAATTTAACAGACAAAATTGTCCCTGCAGATTACAAGTTCTTGCCTGCAATCAACCAGCAGTACATTGAAACCAACTCAAAAAACACCATCATATACCGGTTGTGCCGGTATATGTTGTTCACTGATGGTGAAGTAAAGGAAAGGAAAGGCTTCAGAATCACAACTGTTTCTAAGGGTATGTTTCATTTTTATTTTTTCAATATCACACTACTGATGGTGTTATTAAAGTGGACTCTTTCCTTTAATAACCTTAACCAGGGTTCGTGCTACATTTTCGTTACAAAACTCAAGGACTTTTTAAGCACTTTTCAAGCACAAATATTCGATTTTCAAGGACAACGTTTTTTGTATTAGAACGTGGTTTAAGCATTGATTCAGTGTTACAGTGCAGCTAATTCAGCCTGGGCCTCTAGCTTAGATAAATAGATCTTTTACTATACGCATTCTTAGGCTATTTACTAAATATACGAAAACTCTTCATTCAATTTTAATCGTTAGGTATTTTGAAAGGAAAGCTCGAAATAGCATCATGTTTGCATTAAATTCAAGAAGTATTCCAGGAGCTTTGGCGTTTTCTCTCTTTTCAAGGGCTTTTTAAGTGCCCTTAAAAACATGTTTTCAATTCAAGGAGTTTTCAAGGATTTCAAGGAGTAGCACTAACCCAAAAGTCGATTTATAAGAAATTCCCTGGATATTTAAGCTCATTTTTTTCCTGTATATATTCTCTGTCATATTCTCAAACTCTCAACCTTCAAGAAACTCAAATTCAAGTGCAAACTCTTCTGGCTCTCTACCTGGCCAAGGACCCAGTCATGCCCAAAGACCAAGTAACTCTGTTTTATCTGTTTCAACTCAATATGGGAAGTTCTGGTTATTTGAAAAGCAGATATCACAGTCCACACTTAATGGCAGGAATGGCTCAACAGCATGCACTTTCATCGCCATCATTCTTTCTAAGTGTTCTATAATACAATGTCAATATTATGGAAAATGGTAATCACATCCTGTATCGGAAAGGGCAATAACATACATGATCAAGTTACTGGTGGGCGCCCAATTCACTTTTCTGTATCTGAGGCAGTGATACATCTGTCTAATCATTCATTTCAAGGAATTACTGTTGATTATTCTTTTGATGTGGATTTTATTAATACAAATCTAGCTGTCCCACAGTCTTCACTGACATTCTTTTTGCAAAGACTTGTTCAAGAACCCAACATAGCAGCCATCGTTATCATCAATAGCATGTCTGTTTGTTTTATTCGCCAGGCAAATAACATTCTTCTCATGGACAGTCATCTTCAAGGCAACTATGGAGCATTAATTGGTAAGACCACCCTGCAAGATTTAGATGAATTTTCGATAAATGCAAAACAATATATAAGCCCTACCTTTAACATGTAAACAGTAACTTTTGTAAAATATACTTGAAATAATGATATGCATACAAAATCCATCGACATTGATATTGATATTACATCAAGTTTTGATATCTTTTTACAGTTTTAGCAAAATTCTTGTTGGTAATTGTTGGTAAATTTATTGCTTCGGGGAGTGCTTAATTAAGCGTACTTTATATGGATTCAGTGTTGGCTCTGTAGCCTTTATAAGAGTCATATAAACAGGCATATGCATATATATATATGACTTCGATTAAAAAAGTTTTGACAAGTATTTTCATTGACTGACGCTTCTTTGCACATAAAGGCTTAAGATAGTATATTATATAGTACGATCGATCACTCCTATAAAATAAATCATGATCAACTCACCTTCGGCAATCTCATAAAAGATCATTTTTCTTCGGATTTCCTGGTTTCCTTAAAAAAATCTATAGTAATAGCCTCTGCTTTGGACATTTTGTGTAATTCACTTATCTTCCACAACAAAAGAGGGAAGAAAATCGCAAAAAAAACGTATGCAACAGGGCTACAATCCGAAAAGATCGACGAAAACAGTTTAGTCATCCAGAAAAACATGTAAGATAATACGCCATTTTGATTCTAGACGAGAATCTAGTATCAGCTTCTGATTGGTCAATTCGCTCAATTCGGATATTTGATTGACAGATTACACGTGGTATAAAAATGTTACGCATTCTATCAGTTAAACCAAATAGATAAACCAAAATGGCGAGTGAGAGAGAAAAATATAGAGAAATTTTGCAGCGAAATTTAAGAGCATTCCCAAATATTTCAGCACTAAAACCCGAACAGGAGGATTGCATTTTAGCTGTGCTGGATAAAAAAGATGTCTTCGGTATATTGCCGACAGGATTTGGAAAAAGTTTAATCTTTCAGCTTCTTCCTCGCATTATGAAGGAAGCATGGCAGATCGAACGTGCCACAGTTATTGTTGTGACTCCACTCGTGTCCATCATGAAAGACCAAGTGACCGAATTAAAGGAACATGGATTGAATGCCTTCCCCTTGCTGAACGAGGAGTCAGATGAAGATATTCTCAACAGCCTAGAAACAGCAGAACTGATATATGGAATCTTCGAAACCTGGTTGTCTCAACGGTGGTTGAAAGAATTGAAAGATGGACAACTAGGCAAACAGATAGTGTCTATCGTAATCGACGAAGTACATTCTGTAACTCTCTGGTAGGCGTTACAAATTTGATATAATGTGACGTTTGTATTCTTGTCGAGCTAGTTGATGACTGCAGGTGGATTTTAACTTTTTGAACCAAAATAAACACCATAGATTTAAAAAATAGACGCTCGACGAGCGCATGTGGCTACTACAGAATTGCGAAACTGGGATTTAGTTCATTTATTTTTACTGCAATGCTTTAACAAACACGTTTTTACGGGTTTGCTGTGGAAGCAAGAATTTTCGTCCGCGTTGAGGGGTATACCCAGGATTTTCTCTGAGGTATGGAGAACTTCTTGATCTTCTTTTGCCTGTTAATTTATTTTCTCACTAAATTACTTATGAGGTGTCTTTCTATGACAACGTTTTTGCAAGTAGGTATATATATTTGTTGATTTCCCTCCACTTTTCTGAAACGCATGTGCGTAATGGCATTCAACTAGGTACACTAGTGTGGTTGTTGTTTTCATATTATAGCTTGCCTGGCACTAGTTTTCTGTCTTTGTGTTTGGTAGTTTTCGGCCGGGCTAGGAGCTGAATGTTTTGGAGGGAGACGTCAAAAGAGCTGTTTTGAGTGTTCTCAAGTTTCGTTGAAAATGTCCAAATACTATTTTGTTTGTTGTGATCGTTACAACAATTTGTTTTGAGCGGGCAGATGTAATAGTGCCAGCTTCATATTGAGAAACCTGTAGAATGTAGAACGAAGCAGACTATTTAACGTATATATACACAATTTATTCAAATAAGAAGTAGTTAAAGGTATTTTACAAATTATTTCTTTATTCCAGGAGCCAGGGCATGAAAAGGGCTTATTTAAGACGTTGATTCCACCCAGCCTACAGAAAAGGTCTGACAACGTATTATTATAGTGAAATATGTGTACTTCAAGACTAGGTACTATGTGGTCCGAAAATGTAGTGCCATGGACAAGATAAAGGGGGTTATTTGCCCAAATATGGCATTTAGCATGGAAGTGAGGCTGAAATAATATTTGCCCTCTAGGATCTACCTCTTTCATCAAAAAATCTCGAAAACTACTGATAATGACAAACAACGCTCGCAGCTATCGCTTGGGAGCTTACATGAAGTTAATATCACATGACATGTCACGTGACAGTTATTTACAAAAATAGGATTTTTTTTCAACTCTAACAATTTTCAATTCCTGTTATGACGATATTGATGGCTCCACTACTACCATTTGTGGTCAAATATATTGTGCAAGCCATATTCTAGCGATTACCGCTACAAAAATCCATTCAAAACCCCAAATTTTAAGAAACTGATTAAAATACTAAGGTGTCCTCATCTAAGCCTTAGTCAGCATGGAAACGAGGCTGAACTTCAAACAGGCCTTATTCGAGTCAAATCTTTCCATTTAAATACTTTTTTGAGAAACTTAAATGAAAATAAGATACTACAACAAGTTAGCTACATTGTGTCTCGTAAAATTACAGGGAAAAAACAAGCTAGAGTGTGTCTCTTTAATAAATCTGAAGAAAGAACTATGCAATTTGTGTGTAATTAAATAAATAATTTATATTTTTTGGATGAAGCAAGGTCGTTTTATTTGGCAGCAGTTAAGTACTTGACGAGGCTTAATATAATTTTTTTTTTACATCATGACGACGTCAGGGAATAGGCCGAGTCAGGAGAAAAAGGAGTAACCAGGCCTTATTTTCATACCGCCATTTTGGATTTTTACAGTTGTATTGTTGACACCTAGAGGCTTGTTTTCATACCACACTGGGTCCTCTGGTGTAAAGATTGGCACTGGTCTTTGAAAGAACGTTTGTTGTTTGGGGTTAAGTTTGGAAAGATAGTACTTCAGGCACCACAGCGAATCGCCAGTTTCACCTGTTGAATACAACCGTGTTTCATTTTCATAACTCTGCTTGTCACAAAAGCCACCCTGATGGTTTTTGGTCTGCTCCTCGTGAGTCATGGTTGCATATTCCTTTCCTTCACCGTCAAGATCAAAAGTAAAGCTTTCTCGGCGGAGCTGTCTTTGGCCCTCACAACCCCGGCGGCACCAATACAGGGTCACTATGAACCACACTCGCCGAAGGAGGCCGTAAGGATTCTCGTGGCTCAAAAAAGGATTTTTCTTGACTTTACTCACATCGGCTGGCTCAATGACTAGTTTGTGTTTGGTATTTTGTTTCTGTTCTCTTTTGTTGACCTTCAGCTTGCTCTCCAGTATCTTGTTAGAGCTGTAAAATGCTGGGTTGCTAGTGAGCTTCATTGCTTTACCATTGACTGCAAAATGGCGTTCAACAGCATTCCTGAACCCAAGCAGCGAGGAGCGGCTATACTCTTCACCTTTCTGGTTTCTGGCCTCTGCATAAAACCTCCTCAGGATGTCATTTAGCTCGGCCTCTGTTAGATCCAACAAGGGCTTGCAAATTTTTCGCTCATGGCACCATTCTGAAAATTGCATCAACAACTCGTAAGTAACTAAAAGTRAAAGTAAGATTATTTCTGTAGATTTCTTTATCCTTTTCAATATTAGCTAGGTTTTAACGCATATTTGCTTGAAAAAAATGAGCTGACCTACCTTGCAACAGTTTTAATACCCATTTGGTGTTTCTTTTTGTGCCCTTCGCGTTAGCACTTGACACAAGCTCATTCAAGTCTTTTTCTTCGCAAGTTGCAAAGCGGGATGAATTTTTCACGTCTTCTAAAAAAAGTTGAAGAATTCAAGAAAACAGTCTTGGCAGCCTTTTACCTTTGCACTATGTCTTGCACAGGTTGAAATTTATTATGGATAAGATGCATTTAAGCAGCAGGTAGGGGGACTCGCGGAGGGGGTACTGGCCGACCCGGGTATTACCCCCGCCAAACACTATGCGGCCGCCGTGGGTATTACCCGTAGTGTCGCTATGTGTATTGCCTGTGTAATTCGATTTGAAAAGCTCTCTACGGGTTTTACTGGTGCCCCGCATTACTAAGTTAAAATATTACCCCTAATGGAGGATAAAATACCTTTAAATATACGATGAAGGAGGGAAAAGCATTGGCTTGTCCAAAATGCAGTAAGAATTTTATTAAGAGTGGTCTTATTTCCCATTTGAGGAAAAAAGTCCCCTGTAATATGGAGGTAACTTGTTTGATGACGCATATTAACGAGCATTCCAACGACAATGAGGACTACATAAAGGAGCTAATGAAAAAACCCGCGGTGGTTCCTAAGCCTACTTTTCATTGTCCATGTGGAAAGATTTACAAGACGGAATATCAGYTTAAGATACACCAAACTACGTGTAGGGTCGCAAACGTAGGCTAAAATATTTCCTATATATAGATGGACGCCATCAAAAGCATTCAAAACAAAACTGTGCGCAAACTGCGAACTCAGGTATTGGATCGTTTGGACGCCGAATTCGCCTTCACGACATTCACAGTTCGTCCTAAACAAGAATACCAGGCCCGGAGCGCTGGTAGGCATCGACATGTTGTTCTACGAAGTTGCTTACCCTGTTACAGTAGTAATCTATGGTGCGTATGAGATTAAAGAGCCGGACGTCAAGAAGTTGAAGCCAATGCGGCATCCTGGCAACTGCGTCGGCAAGTTAGTAAGAGAATTCTTTGAAGATTCCTCCCGGGGCGGTAAGCTTACCCCAAAGAGGAAAGAAGCTATCAAGAGATGGGAAGATGCTACTCATAGGGCCGGAGCTACCATAGACAACATCAAAAAGCTAGAAGTCCTTTTAGAAAGGCGCATACACGTAAAAGATATCACAGACGGGTACATTTACCCAGGAACGCACAAATACGGGGGCAGAGGCGCGCCTATAGTCATCTACCAGCATAATGGACACGCTTGGAGAGAGTTAAGGTTCCCAAAGAAGAAGGAGACAAAAATCTACGAGGCCTCGCCATTGGCGGAGCTAATACATGAGAATTCCATTTGGTTGATGGATCCAGAAGGAAGCCAGTTTATGACCCAAGACGGCACTCTGTATCGCCCGGAAATCGAACACCGGCGCATCCAAAGCGCCTGTGAAACCCTTGGGGAAGACTTCTCAGACGAGGTCCTCAGCTCTCGTAGCTTGGACTTCTTAGCGGCCAAAAAGAGGAATGGATGGAAACCTACCCCAAAAGAGTTCAAAGATATCTCCAAGGCCTGTGTAGAACACGGTCATGGAGGTCTTTGGAA